GCATATTAGAAAATTGATGAAAGAAGCTCAAGCTATTACAACATCTTCCGCTCTCCAGTTGTCTTTAAAGATTTTCAACAAGTAATTGTCCTTGCAGAACAATTCTACCTAACGATGAGACAACAAGAGGCTATAGAATTTTACTATAAATTATCCATAATATTTTTATTATTTGTAACAAGTATGAAAGATGGAGAAACTAGCTGTTTTGACTTCCTATCATTATAAACAATTGAGAAATCCTGGTTCCAAGTAAACTAATTAAGTTCCAATTAATACAATTGACTTGGAAACCACTATAATGTGTGAAGAATTTGATTAGGACAAACTTCTAAATAAAAATGTTATTCATGAATTTACAGTGTTGTAAGCCTTTATGTTAATGCTTAAAGCAGATTCTTCATAATTAAAAACACTACATCATAACTCAAAAAATGTCCATATTCCAATTCATATGTGCAGGTTATAAACATGAAATTGTTAAATGCATCATTTAAGTTAAAGAAATCACTGACCGGCCTTCCAGGATGGAATGGAACTTCAGGTCCTCCAGTAACTTCAACAGCAACAATCCCAGCCAACTAAAGAAGAGGATGAAAATAATTCACTCTCTAAAAAATGATATTTAATATAACAACCCAAGTGAATTCCATATTATAAATTTTCTGAATCAATAACTACCTGATGGAAATCAGCATGAGAAAGTATAGGGAATTGCTTCCTGATAGGCTGCAAGAGCCTAAGAGCAATGTCAAGGCCATTGTTGGCTCCACCAGCTCAGCAGGGAACCTCATGGTTCGAAAAGGACCTCCAATTCTGCTGCATACATCAAATGTACCAGCAGAGTGCCATCTACATCACAAACACGACAAATTTCCAACATCATCAAACTCTACACAAATCAACATAATCAACTCAAAAGCAATACGATTCATTACACTGCACATACATGCATATAAAATACGTCTGTGCAAGTAGGAAATCTCATAAATACAAATAAAATGCACAGACATGAACTAGCTGGATTGGCAACCAGAGTCAATCTGGTGACATTTTAAATATATCCTATCAAATGCTAGGTGAGCTAATGGCTGCACAAATCTTGACAATCAGTGAAGATCAATGGCATAATGGCATTGATCAAATTGCATACGATCTTCTAAGAAAATGATGTTCATTAACTCCATAATCGGAGGGTCAAGAAGCCTTCCCTTTATCCTTTTACATCTTTAAAATTATCCAATGAAGGAAAAACATCTATATTTGAAATACACATTGCATTTATATATTTAGGTTTATTCATGTGATTTTTGTTGTTTTTTCTTGAGGTTACATTTGAGTTTTGTGATCTAGGTTGCGATTTGGTTCTTGCAAATAGATGATGGAGGGCTGATGAGGTGTTCACTGCCCGTATGAATAAATAAAAAGAGCAAAACGAAACTCTCCCCCCAAATCTTCATCTTCTTGACCACTCTCACCCATTAACCTCACCTACCCTATCATAGCCCACTTTATCTTCTTCTCCATTCATATTGGAAAACACCTTCCTACCAAAATCAAAACTTCATTTCCATCCTCTTTGGCAACACAGTGATAAACTTTCAAGTCTTCTCTCCTTTCAACACTCCAAAATCAATCACAAAGATGTGGAAAACACATGAAAACAAAGTTCTCAATGCAGGTAAGGATATTCAACCTAACTGAAATGTATATTGCAAAAAAACTGCAATATTAACAAGCAAAAAAACTGCAATGTTCTGTCTGCCATTCTAATCCGGATGAAACCGTTCAAACAACCAACAACCTCCACCTAATCAATAGTTCTAACAATTCCACCTCAAACAATTCCATTCTAATCTTTACAAACCGTTCAAACAATCTGAATATGAACAATTCCACCTCCAGAAACCGTGAACAGCACAATTCCAGAAACCCTTCAAACCATTCCACCTCCACGTCCACGTCCACCTCCAGCACCACCTCCACCTCCACCTACCCTTCCCCCTAAGAAATCAACCTGCAATCCCGTTTAACCCATTTTCGCACCAATAAAAAAAACAGAGGGCAAATCGACCCAATCACGCAGAAATTTACCAGGAAGAGCAACCATATAACTAAAGATTGGCACAAGCAAAGAATAATACCTTGACTTGAAGATGCGAATTGATTCACACTGTCCTTCGTTTCAGCTTTCGATTCGGCTGCACCAGATCGAACAACCCCAATATTCGAAGATCCCGTCGACTACCCTTCCTCCCCGGCCAACGACATCTGGTTTTCGGTTTCTGATTGCGGGTTTGGGGCTGGAGATTGAGTTGGGAAGTGGGTGAGCGAGAGAGTTCAGAGACGGAGAGGGAGTGTGAGAGCGAGACAGAGTGAGAGCGAGACTGATTTACCGTGTTTTCTTCATTTCGCGTGTCTTCTGAATTTTGGCCTGAGTTGGGTTTTATTTTACAAAATGATGTTTAGGTTGTTTTGTGTTTTTAGTTATAATTTTTTTTTTTCATTTTGCAAAACGTTTTTTCGAAAATAAGATAGAGAACGCGTTTTCGCTATTTTGAGAAATTAAATATAGAAAATGGTTGGAAAACGACAAAGAGAACAGGGCCTAAGTTATTCCTAACTTAAAACAATTATTCTTCCATCTCGAGTATAACCCATGACCCATTGCCTATTTCACCCCAAAGTCTGCTAATGTGACCAACTAAATGCTACATCGTGTTGCACTTGGTGCCGTGCACTCTCCTATTCACAATACATATTCATAGGTGTTTTAAAGTAGACCTTTAAATTCCCCACGACCTCCTAAGGATTCTGCACTTTTGTGCATAAGGACAGCTCATATGTTGCTCAAGTGTTAGGATGGAAGCATAGAGACAACTAACTGACACTCACCAAGTATGTGATCATTGTAATAGATGTAGCAAATTTTACCCCCAAGTTCCACTTGTAAATGTCTTAAGAGTTAATAAATCGTAAGTTCCACCCTGTAAACTTCAAATGGCGCTTTCAAAATTTCAGACCCAACAGATACCCAAATACTGAAATTATGTCGTTGCAGCTGCATTAATTTTTCACTTTCACCCACTCAATTTCCTAGTCAAACGGACTCAAATTCTCTTCAAATTTGGTGAGAAGATCTAACGCATTAGGCAAGCTCTTCATAAAGCAAATTTTCGAAAGTTCATCTCTATGATTCTTTGCACAATACACTCCTCTTTGGCTCTCTTTGAATTCAATTGATCTAGCCTCCCCAGTGATCATGGAATTTAGCACTTTTTTGTTGAAGCCTATGTGAAAACCCACGTGACTGTTAGCCAAGTAAAATTCTACAAGCACCTACTCTGCATCAACAAATGTCCTATGCGTTGAAGGGCCAATCCAATGCCTCATTGTATTCTCTTTCGAGGTTACGTAACTTTTGAGAAAACTTGTTAAATCGCCTTTCCAGGGTGACCAAGAGGAACCCGTCCTTAGCCACACTAAGTGGGCCTATTGAGTTCGAGGCGTTTGAGGGTCCACCTATGATATTTTGAGCAAGTTGCAATCTCTAACATCTTGAGCAACATGCAATTTGATTCATATGAAATATTTGCAAAGGCGTTTTACATTTCAATTCGTGCAGATTCACCTAGGACTGGGTTTCGAAAGGTTACAAGCTTATGACTAATATTATGTGATATTTTTGAGTATGACTTATGAACCGTTTAGATGAAGTCACGTGTCAAGCATCTAAATGTCATCTTCTATAGCTCATTGGCCTATAAATATTAAATACTCCCAATTGTGTCAGGATTTCAAAATTTGAGAACCTCATTCTCTCTCTAGAATCGTTTGTTGTAAAATGTGAACTCGACTCTAGTATTTTCCTTTCCTCATGATTCTCCCACGCCCAAATTATTATCTGTTTATTTGCCTTGAATGTCGGAAAGACATGATCATGACCTCCTATTTTTCTTTGGTGCTCATGTCCGTGCATCTAATGCATGTGTCCAAATGTTTAGTAACGTACTATTACGTACACAAGAAGATGAAAGAAATTGTGATATATTGACTCTTGGGACTCCCTAAATTTGAAGGTCCACAAGCGCCAAGCTAATACGCTATATTTGACACTATGGTTTGTGCACGCATTAATGAAAAATTGATATTATGATATGAGCTCTTTGCATGTTGCATAGAATCATTAGGCTTGGAAGTGAGGCTTTTGAACTCGATAGCAGTCTGAGGGCCGAAAAGATCTTCGTTACAAGTTTTAATAAGGATTTCAAACTTTCTTCTTTCCAATTTTCTAGAATAAAAAATCAAAATTAAAACCAGGGCCAAACTATATTTCGAACCCCCAGCTCATTTCACTTGCGTAGAAGAGTTCTGTTGGCTTAAATTCACCAGTGACCGTCTAACTTTATATTTATGGTGTGTTTGAGCCACATTTTTTTTGAAAGGATATGTTTTGAAATAGTGCATTGATGGAAATGTATGATTGAAAAAAGAAAGAAAAATTAAGGATTTGATAAAAATATTATTTTATTAAAGAATGTGTGATAGAAAATAAGTAGAATAATGAGAATGAAAATTTTAATGTGACTCAAATGGTACTTAGTGTCATATTGACCACTCAATTTTGTATTTAGTATCACATTGACCACCAAATTTGATTTTGTTTTATTATAACCACTCAACTTCATATTTAATGTCACATTAGCCATCCTATTTAGTTATGTTAAATAAAGTTTTTGAATGGTTTGATTGAAATTAGGTATGATGTTAGATGATCATGATGAAATAAAATCAAGTTAGAGACCAATGTGACACTAAGTGTGAAGTTAAATGATAATCGGTGAATTTAATCGAGTTCCATCTTATTTTATTTATTTCAAAAAACCGACCGCGAGCCCGGATCTTTCGCGTTCCTGTTTCAGACAATTTTTCTTCTGCGCAGAAGCCAAAAGTCACTGTTCTCTCCCCATTTTTCTCTAATTCTTATCTTTTTCCACTTTTTTATTACTTCAATTTACACCTTCCTCTCTCTTGTTTTCCTTTCTCTCTCTAAAACCAGGAAAATAAAATAAAATAGTGTCCTCTCTAGTTTTACGCCGAATGGCAGATGAAACCGTCTCTTACTCCCATTATATTCCTCCACCTGCCGGTCCTGCCCCCTCTATTAATCTTTCCCTTCCTCTCTCTCTCGATATATATATATATGCACTCTCTCTCTCCTGTCCCTTACAAACAAGCTTAAAGCTTTTACTTGCGTCTACTGCTAGCTGTTCTTGAGTAATTTTCTTGCTTCTTCTACTTTGCATGTGCTTCTCTTCTACTTTTTTCCATCATAACACTTCAATATGCATTTACCCTTTTGGAGCTTAAACTGATACGGAATCACATTCATGTATTAATGGATTCTTGACAATGAGGTACAATGATTACTCACCTTAGGGCTTGATTTTGCAGTTCTAATTTATGGGCTAAAATTAATTTATTTTTGTGTGATTTTTTAGGGGTATCTCTGATAAAGATTTTTGAAGAAATCTGAGATATAAATCTTCAGAATTTCTCTGATAAGAAAAGAAACAAAAAAATGGCACCAGAAAACAACTGGCTTTCATTTTCTCTATCTTCAATGGAAATGCTTAACTCTTCCTCGCAGGCTCCCCTTCAGTCCACTATGGAACTTGCACCGTTTGAAGCCTCGTCTGCTTCTGGTTCTCACCACCCCTACTCCTTCGCCGATAACTTCTATTCCAACGGTAATTAAACACACAGAGATATACATATACAATTCTTGTATCTATCTATTTTATCAGAGTTTTTGTAGCTTATCCAATGATTTAATATCGTATTAAAATTTTGCACTTAAACTCCACCGGTTCTGTTTGGTGCTGAGTGAAATAGGTTTGTAAAGGTGGGAAAGGGACAAAAAATTGCAAACTTGTTACTTGTTTCTGGCATTTCCGTTACTAAGAACTTTTTCTTCAAAATAACCCATTTACATTTACTCATCCCAGTTGTATTTTTACTGGACTCGACTATTATTCGGTTAATTTTTGGCGTTTCCATTCAATGCTACAGCTTCTTTATTATTTCTTTCTTCTCGTATTTATTTCATTGACAGCCCTGAAAATTAATTATCATTTCGTGACCCTTATTTCCTTGCTTTAGAGTGGTATAACCAGAAATCTCAAGCCATGTACTCAGAAGCTGAAAACCAACAGGTCAAGGAAGACAACTCCTTCAATTTCACCAGCTACATGAACCCATATATGCACCAAAGCATGCAGCCACCGCCTAAACTTGAGGATTTTTTGGGTGGCGACTCGACGGAGATTCAAGATTCGTCCCTGACTCACATCTACGACCACCACCAGACAGGTGGCGGCGACCCCTACTTCAGTAACAATGAGCAGCAAGATCTCAAGACTCTTACTGGTTTTCAGTCCTTTCCTGCGAACTCGGGATCGGAGGTTGATGATTCGGCGTTAGCGGGTCATACTCAGTCCCCGGTTGAGGCAGGGAGCGAGTTGGTGACTTACTCACAGTGCCCCATTACTGCTGCTGCTGCAAATACTACTAATGCTTTATCGTCGGGTGTTTATAACAATGCACAATGCTCTGAGAATAATAACAAAGCCATTGTTTGTGTTGACTCGGAGAGTTGCAAGAGAGTTACTGATACTTTTGGTCAGAGAACTTCCATTTACAGAGGCGTCACGAGGTATCATATTTATTTGAATAAACCTGCAAGTACAGGCTTTTTTTGATTACTCATTAATTTTTGATTGATACAGACACAGGTGGACAGGAAGATATGAAGCACATCTATGGGATAACAGCTGTAGAAGAGAGGGCCAAGCAAGAAAAGGGCGTCAAGGTACGAATTACATTTTCTAAATTCTGAGGAGTTGTACTCTTTTGGGAAAGAATAAATAAATATCATTTTTCTAAAGGGGCTTGTAAATTTGCATAAGCATCCATTAACGGGGCGTTAATGGAGTCACAGGTGACTGAGACTCTTGTGGCAAAGGACACTGATGAAGAGCTTTTTCTTGGCTCAATCAGACTTTTATGATGATTGATTGATTGTACTTTATATTTAGTGCTAAATTTCATTCAATCTTTCATTAAATTGATCAAATGGGCCGCCATTTTGTTCAAGTTTGGTGTTGTGGTAGGAGTGGGTGGCCTAGGGTAGGGGTGTTTTCTTCACATTCTTTAATCGTCATTATTCTTTGGGTTTTTATCCCCTTGTTCATAGATGGATATGATAGATAATACCTTAGCTAGTCTGAATGCTAATGCCTGAAAACTCTGAATTACATCAGTTTGCTTTCAACTTTTGCCTTTTTCTTTACTGCACATAGGACTCAATGGGTTTGACCAAGCCATCACTTTCACGCCTTATTTTGTGGGTTCACACTCTTTCTCATTTTTATAATTGCATTGCATGTTCAACATGCTTCAGGACTACATATTTGCCCAAAAGAGCCTACCTAATTTTGCTTTTCCATTTCTTGACTCACTAATCTAGTGTTCTTATAATATTAATGAGCAGATTATGCTAATATTTCTGAAATAAAAAAATTTACTAGTGAACTTTTGTTGATCAAGTCATTCTGAGTTGATAATTGCACTGCTAATTAGCACACTGAAGTGGAAAAAGCTCATAGCTTTGCTTCAAGTAGTGCACTACGTTCAAGCTTCTGGGCTGCAACAAATGGGCACTGATGTTTGTGTAAATTCTCATTTTGAGAACCAGAATATTAAAAATGATTAATTCCTTGCTATAGCAATGTAAGCATCCTGATTGTTTAGATTGTGGCTACTCACTGGCACAGCCATTTACAAGGATAATGTGGAAAAATTGGGAAGACATAGGTCATACAGTACCAGCTGGAAAGGAATTGCATCTACAAGTAAATATCACGATGATCTACAAGAAAATATCAGGATCGTTATTTTCTCAACCCAAATAGATTCAGGCTCCATCTTGATCTTATGTCATAGTTGTGGAATAAAAGAAATCTTGCAATGCACTTACATTCCATGAATCTTCTTTTTTTAAATTTTTCGATAGTTCTATTTTGAGTATGATGGATATTACATGATTTTATTCTAAAGTCTGTCTGTCTTTTATTTTTTTGCATGGCATTATGGATTGTATTTCTTGGCTGTTGCTCAAAATGTGAAACTTATGCAGTGTACTTGGGTAAGTAATTTACGATTTAGAATCTATACTCCTTTGCAATCATATTTGTTGTGATTTATTTTTGTGCCGTCGACACTTATGATATGATCTACTGGACATATAGGTGGGTATGACAATGAAGACAAGGCAGCAAGAGCTTATGATTTAGCAGCTCTGAAATATTGGGGTGACACTGCTACCACCAACTTCCCGGTAAACTTTTTTACTGTTTATGTAATGAATTTGGGTATATTTGAGTTGCGCTAGGAGATTAAAGCTTTTTTTGTTTTCACCTCCCTTACAACACAATCTATTTAGTCTTGTCAAGCTCACATTACCAAACATATTATTTGTAATTTATCTATTCCTAACTGGAGAATTTTTCCTTTCAGATCGCCAATTACACCAAAGAGTTGGAGGAGATGAAGCACGTAACTAAACAAGAGTTCATTGCCTCACTAAGAAGGTTTGCATACTATCCCTTGTTAATTTTGCAGACCAACTGCCTGAAATATCGTGGAGTAGCTGAACATTTTTTGCTTAGCCATTATGTCTCTTTCTCATTGAACTGAACTGAATATCGATGATATTTTCAGGAAAAGTAGCGGTTTCTCAAGGGGAGCATCAATTTACAGGGGTGTTACGAGGTCTGAAAACAATTTTTTTTATATCATCTTTGTCATAGATCTTAGATTGCAAATTTTATAGTTTTAGCAAGAACTATCAAAGATTCATCCGTCCTCATGAATTAATAGCTCAATTTATGCAGGCATCATCAGCAAGGTCGATGGCAAGCAAGAATTGGTCGTGTTGCTGGGAATAAAGATCTCTACCTTGGAACATTTGGTATAAAAACAGTCCCTTTAGTTCGAAATTTCAAGTTGAAACCTTATTCTTTGGTCTTTGGAAGAGTAGCATTCGTGCATAGTCCATATTTACTGATGTTATTTCATTTTAATGGTAGCTACTGAGGAGGAAGCAGCAGAGGCATATGATATAGCTGCAATAAAGTTTAGGGGAGCGAATGCAGTGACCAATTTCGAGATGAGTCGTTATGATGTCGAAGCCATCGCCAAAAGTCCCCTTCCTGTTGGCGGGGCAGCCAAGCGCTTGAAACTCTCACTCGAAGCCAAAGAGAAACCTCTTACTAACGCCAACTTGCAAATACAGTCGAGCAGCAACAGCATCGACTTTGCGTCCCTTCAGCAGCCAGTGTCCACCATTCCATGTGGAATACCATTTGATGTCAACTTCTTCCACTACCTCCATCCCACCAATGCAGCTGCCTCCGCTGTTTCTGGTGCAGCCCCAACCATGGTAACTCCAATGCCATTGATGCCGTCACCAGCCGATTGTTTCATTTGGCCCCACCAATCCTATTAACATGTCGTTTACAGTAGTTTCTTTTAAGCTGACCTTCATCTAACCCACAAAGCTTTAGGATTAGTTAATCAAGCAGTGAGCAGAGACGTATGAAAGGTACTGCTATTGAAAATTCCAAATGAAGGATAAAAGTTTTTGTTTTACTAGGTAAAGGCTGGGATGCTGCAAGTACAGTAGCTTCTCTTCGAAATGAAGGATAAAAAGTTTTTGTTTTACTAGGTAGAGGCTGGGATGCTGGAAGTACAGTAGCTTCTCTTTTAATAGCTTCGCTTAGATGTATGCTGAAGTATACAAGATAACTCTTACGGGTTATGGAAAGATTTTCAAATGGTTTCCATTTCTCTGAGTGATCCTGTGCTGCATTCAATCAATTTGCTAAATTCTGGCTAATTATATGAAAAATCATGCAAATGGCTTTAATTTTTGTGTATGGATTTTGCTACTTGCTATGACGAGTTCCTTAACGTTGTTTTATCCTGTCCACTCGAGTGTACGGAACATTCTTCTGAGTCCAGTCCAGTGGAGCTGAGTGTGTGGAACATGCTTTGAATGAATAGACTTTGAACTAAAAGAGGTAAAAATGAGATCAAACTAAACAAAATTAGGTTTTACATTTACAACAACATTACTGCAACTACCAGTCTACAAGCCATATATAAAAAATTCAAAACAAGAATTTAAGCTGTAATTTAAAAGCCCATTCGGTCCAAACCATCATGGGCTTCTTTTGATTGGGGATCAACACTCAGGGCATCTTGGAAAGCCTTTTTAGCGTCTTCTCTCAAGCCCTTCATTTCATAACACTGGCCCAACAAGCAAAAGGCCTTAGCATTATCGCCACTCAGCCTCACGGCTTCCACCAGGTCATCAATTGCCGAGTCAACTCGCCTCTTCCGATTCAAACCCACCTGCAACTGGGCCCTCTTAAACAACGCATCCCCTCTTTCTCTGTCCGCCAACATCTTCACTGCCGGTGGCGACAGCGCTGAGTCCAACGATTTGAGGGCCGAGTTCTTGTGGCCCATAAGATCCAGTGCCATGGCCTTGAGAATGTGCGCTGCGGGATCTTTCGGCTCGAGGGCCAAGGCCTTGTCTGCCTCGTTGGCGGCGGATTTAGCGAGGTTGAAGGCGGTGGATTTGTTTTTAGAGGATCGGGCTCGTGATAGGAATTGAGCTCCCTGAATGAAGTGGCGGTGGATTTGGGTGTTAGGCCGGGCCTTGGACCGGAGCTTGGTTAGTGCCCGTTTGGGGAGGCTGTGCAGGGCGTAGAAGATGCCTAGGGTGAAAAAAATAATGCCCAGTTGGAGTAAGACATCTGTCCCCATTTTTCGGAGAAAGGAATTTCAGGGTTTCACAAATGCGACTCAACTGTTGAAGGAGTTTAAAAGAATTTGTTTTAATCATTCTTGATGTCGATCTTCTTTTTTATTATTGTAATATTTTGCAATAACGAATAAAATAATACCAACATGACAATGTTGGTATTAAATGATAATTTCAAGAGACAGAGTCAAGTGTTTGTTTATGATTAGGTTGTTTGTTCTTGTGGTTGACACTCCTTTTGATTGTTGTAGTACTTAGGCCTGCAACGAATTTCATGAAAAATATCACATCAAAAGAAAACGAAATTTACTTTGACAGTTTGATTGCAGCGTGGAAATGAAAATCGAATTCTAAAGTAGTTGTATTTTCTATGTTTTCATGGAAAACGAATTTTTTTGAGTTTTGTGGATTTTTTTTTCAGCTAACATGAAATTGAAATTTCTTTCCGCGTTAAGCGGACCCTTAGTAATAATGAAGTTTTCCACATTTTAATTAACACTGATTTAGACTATATTCTTTCTAGTCCGATCAAAAATATCCTAAGCAACAGATGGAAAGAAAACATGGCAAAAGACGGATCTGCTGTTGGTTTCATCTTTAAAAACGCACACAGCAGAAAGCAGACTACTACAAAGCTTCTTTATATACACACTGCAGGTACGTAAACCAATCCCGAGCAACCTCAAGGCATTATTCGAGAAAGATCACTCCATGACTAGTTCCATATGACGATTTAGGTCCTTAAGATAAGTTGTAGAAGTATAATCGTCCAAGTCACACGCATCTACCATCAACGCTCTCCCTCCCATGGATTTTTGTTTCATGTCTGCTGGTTCATTCTCACCTCGCAATATCTGAACAACCTGAAGAACAGGAGCACTTTGCCGATGTTTTAAAGTTTCTTGGCTTCTAATCGATGGAAATGAAATATGAGATGGAGATAAAGAAGATTTACCTTCTTCATATTAGGACGCATATCAGGCAAGTGATGAAGGCATGTTGAAGCTGTAAATATAGCACGATTCATTTCTGTAACATCGTAATTGTTTCCTAATTTAGGATCTGCCAATTCTTTGACGTTGTTCTTCTCCAGAAGTGGTTTTGCCTATGCATAACGATTGCAAAACTTTTAGAAGCATGTCCAGTACGTAGTACATGACAAAATTGGCAGACAATTAACTAATGTTGTCATTTACTAAGCGGCAATCGAATTAGAATTCAATCTTAGGATAAACTCAACAGACTAATCTGCATTAACAAGTTCAGAATAAACAGGGGGAATGGATACTGTAAGAAGAGAAGATAAAATCATACCCACATCACGAGACTTTGTCTACAAGAATCAACTGCACGACGACCAGTTATGAGCTCCAATAGCAAAACTCCGAAGGCAAATACATCAGTCTTCTCGTGAACTATTCCATGCATGAAATACTCCGGAGCCATATATCTGACACCAATTAACATACAAAATTATTAGCATCATTCCTGTAAAATGAGCAAATGCGGCAGGCAAATGAAGTTGCTCTGCTCTACCCAAAAGTGCCTTCAATGGGAGAAACAACATGATGAGGCCATTTTTCTGGAAGCCATTTTGCTAGTCCAAAATCAGATATCTGCATAACAAACAAAACACAGAAAGTTCCATCCATTTATCTAAGTACCCGATGAACAACAAAAAATATATATGTATCCTGTTCTTAGTAATGTTTTCTTTTTCTCCTAGGAAAACATGGCAAATGAACCTGGGCTTCATAATCTTCATAGAGTAATATGTTCGAGGCTGTAATGTCTCTGTGAACTATGCGCCTTTGGCAGTCATAATGAAGATACTGCAATCCTTCAGCTACCCCGGTAAACACCTTATACCTTTTTTTCCATTCTAGACTCGTCTCGGAACCTGTAATTCCAATTTTTCACTTCATCAGTCGAAATAACATGTGATTTACATTGTTTAACAGCATAATGAATTCAACATGGTTAGTTCCATGTCCTTTTGCACTTAGAGGTGTTGTCAAATCCATCTTCTTGATCTGTGTATTCCTCTGATTATTTTTCATAGGTTAGAACTAGCTTACTACAAATTTTCATGTCCAATATCATTAAGTTTCCAAATTCAGGTTTGAGTTTGAATCTGTAAATTCAAATGCCCTACAACAGTACGATCCTATGACAATCCAGGACGTCTAATAAGTCAAGAATTTGGTAGACTTAATGAAGAAAATGGTACAGATATAGCACCATGCAGAACTGAGGCAAGGCTGCCATGTGGAGAAAATTGGAGGACAAGGTGCAAATCATTATCTGCACTGAACCCGAGTAATCTAGCAGCGTTCGGGTGGTCAATATGAGCGATGATCCCAAGCTCGGACAAGAAGTCCCCGACTCTGTCCTCATTGTTCTTCTCTTTCTTCGTTACCTTCTTAACAGCCACGATTTGACCATCAGATAAGCATCCTTTGTACACTTCTGCATGACCTCCTTTCCCAAGCAACTTATCTATCAAGATATAATGTAAAAGTTCAATCAGCAATTAGTAGAATAATTCTGAAAGTTACTTAAAATTTATTTGACATTTATTTTGTCTGTACAAATCATGACAACAGTGTCCATTTTAATAGCTGGCTAACACAGGAAACAAATTGAAGTGTGACTCTTGTTCTGTATGTATCGTTCCAAACCACATGCAAGTTAAATTTGAAGTCTAATAATGGAATAATAATAAATTATAATTTTTTGAGGCAGACTGCTTCTCAATTATGAGGTGCAGCATTTTGGGAAATTAAGGACCAAGTATTTATAATCCCCAACTACTGAAACCGGACAGTGTTTTGATCATGACATTCCTACTAATCCATTAGACATTTGATGCTTAAAGAAAGTAGTCGACATAAACTCTCTAATATGGCCATGCGTTGTTAAAGAAAGTTACTTTAGATTTTCTAGTAAACCTAGCCAAAACGATATTTACAAGAAAATAAGACTTCTGACATGACATATTTTAACACCATAATTTTTTTTAGGGTTCGTTTGATTGGTTTAAATTCTATGAAAAATGTCACATTCGAGAAATTCAATTTTTACTTTGACTGTTTGATACGAAAGTGGAAATAGAGTTCGAATTCCAAGGTACGGCCATATTAAACTTATTTTTTGCAAATTTCATGAAAAATGAATTCCTACGGGGTACTTGGGTTTTTATTTTCCAACTTTTTGATTGATTTAAATTTCATGGAAAATGTCACATTCGAGAAATTCAATTTTTACTTTGGTTGTTTGATACGAAAGTGGAAATGAAGTTCGAATTCCAATGTACAATCACTTTAAGATTGTTTTTTTGCCAATTTCATGAAAAATGCATTCATATGGGGTACTTTTTATTTTCCAACTTATATGGAATCGAAAACCCTTTCCACCTTTGACAATCAAACGGACCTTTAGTTCAACGAGTATTATTTGACAGGCCAAGAAAAGTCAGTGGAAATGGAAAATTTTAACCTAGTGGCAAAGGCAGTGACTACTATCTGCTTACTGCAGCCACCAGCTTCCTTCACATTTTCCTGCGCATGATGGAATCGCCCCACCAAACCTTTTTTATATTTTCTACCTCTAAAATATTCGAGTTTAATATCATTAAACTAGCTTAACTTTTTTTCCTTCCTTAATTCTGCTTAACTTTCCATATTAAACATAATACTACGGTATTATATAAAATCATTATCACTCCTTTCGTTCGAGTCTTGCTACATTTATATATTTATTGAAAGAATCAATACAGCCACGAGTATATTATTTATTGGATTAATCATCCTATCCACTTCATCTAATGAATGTCCCCACCTCAATCAAAAGTTTTTGGTGGGCAAAAAAGAAGGCTATTTCATCAACTAAGAAAAGTCGTTTTAGGTTTTTACTGTTTACAGTGGGGTTGTTGATAACTTGATATCCAACCATAAAAACTTAATGAACTTAATTACAGGACCCGACTCAAACTAACCAGGTGACAGTGTCTGTCTGTCTGTCTGCTTTAATAGCAGTTTCCTGACAACCTTGAATTATGGTTTGTCCAATTTATGGCGGTCTAAGTAATCAGTTCATTTCAATTCATTGTCGAATGCATAAAAACTCTATTGTACAATGAATTAAGGGGTTCAATGCACTCTAAGGTGGATAAATAGCATTGGTTTGTGCATCTAGAAATAGAGCGTAAATTTTTCGTCCCCTTGCATTAATTCAGTTGTGGGATTTGAGTTTGAAAATTACTGACTACTATGTAGGTCGGCAATATGGGAAATCCAATCAAAGGGGATGAGATTTTATTCGCAAAAAGTTGTTGGTTCAGTGTATACAAGTGCGTATATTTGAAATAATTCAATCAAATAAGATAAATTTCAATTAAAAGACGAAAAATTGTTTCATGAGTTAGTTGTTATAGAACTAATCAAGAAAATTCAAGACTTGTCTTTTGAGAAACAGAGCATGCAGTAGAAGTTTTCGAAAAAGAGATGTTACCAGGACTAAAATTATCAGTAGCTTGTTTGAGTTCCTCATAGGTAAAATTTCTCCAAGATGGCTTAGGGACTACAAAACCTCCACAATCAATGGCGTCTTCTGCACTACGATTTCTCCCCAATTTTCCTTTCGAGCTCTTCTTCGATAGGTCATATCCACCCAACAGTGGAATTGTTGTGAATTTCTTCATCGAAGTCCTCTTCTTTATCCGAACCAACAAATTCTTCCATTGTAACCTGTAGCCTAATTCCCCTGAAATTCCTTTTTGCTCGTTATCAAAACTGCTGCTTCTCTCCAGGCTGCTGCTATGATCTGAGTCCGAACCCGATATGGGTGTCTCCAAAACACCCCTTGGAGACGATTGCTCCTCCATTTCTTCTTCTTCATTTTTCACATTTTCTAATGATTCTGAGTTAGCTTCCATGGTTATGATTATGATAGTTTCAAAAAGCTCCCAACAAAAAGATTCAAAGAAAGATTTTTAGTTCACGGAAGTTAGTGGGAAATTGGTATATGAATAATCTTAATATTTACATTGGAACATTCCGAAATTCATCTCTCTCCCTTCCCAGCAAGAACAGAGAGAGAGAGACAAATAGACAGGGAGGAGAAGTGGGTGGGGTGTTAAAATTGTATACCTTCCGAAGGTTGATATTATCTGAGGAGAGAGAGAGCAAGGGTAGAGGGAAAACCAGCTTTATCCTATATTTATACACTAACCTTAATTTTCTGTAATAATTCCACTTTCAATTATAATAACGTTATAAACTGAAATCTCGACCGTTGATTAATTAATTCATGATTGATGGCGCAACTAGCGCTTGTACGGGTACAAGAAAGCGCAATAACGAAAACGACGACGGATTTTCAGTACTTTTGATGGATTTTCTTTTATTTTAAGAAATTAATGCCTCGTGAAGAGAGAGATTTTTAAAGAATGGCTATAGTGGGAGAGACCTTCCTTCACAACTTCACTGAAAATATCTCTTCGTATTTGTAAATATTTCATTTCATTATCTAAAATTTTCTTTCCTATTCGAATGTACAAATGAAATAATATTCCTTATTCTTGATTTAGTAATATTGTAAAAGTAAGCGGTGAATTTTGAGGGATTGCTCAATTAATCAGACATTGTGTTTGCTCATCAATGGTCACCAATTTGAGTCCCCTTAAGTCCACTGAAGTGAGTATTCGATCGTAAACTTCAGGGTCTCGTAGGATTAGTCGAGGTGCGTGCAAGTTGACCCGAACATCCACGATTATTAAAAAAAAAAAATTCATGAATATTTGAAGACAAGAAAAAAATTAAATTAAAATATATTTACGTGCAAGGATCGCGAAAATGGACATAATTAATTAGAGTGACTAGTTGAACAAATTGGTCTACTACAAAGGCTTTCAAAGATTTCGTTTGGCTTTTATCTTAACGTGTTTAGATAATTAATTTGAACAAGGTATAATTTCAACCACGGTACATTAAAAACTTGATCGATAAAGATAAAAGTGTACATGTTTCTTGAATAATGACCAATCCTCATCATGCCCAGTTGATTGTGTGGATTTTACTAAATTTGAATATCCCGCATAATCTAGTTGTAAACTTGTATATAAGGGCACACAAGATTTCATTTTTGCTTAAATATAAATATTCTTGACGTCTATATTTTCATAAATGATGTGACAAAATCAAACGAGTCAAGTGCACGCCTCTCTTCTTTTCATGTGCATTGCTAGCGTGGATATTAGGTCCTTTGAATATGTCCAACTTACCTCGAGATATGATCATACAAATTTTGAATCTTTTTGTTGAGTTTAGAAAATGTGAAGACCCATCCCGATGAGTGTCGTGTCGGGCTCTTTTACTGAGGAGTGAAGGACAACAAATATCATTTATTTTAGGAATAATTGCAGCAAATGCCCCAAACTTTGGAAACATTGACAGATTTTTTTCAAACCTTTAATTTGTTGCAACTGTTACCCCTAACCTTTCCAAATGTTGCAGGTAAAGCTCTTTTGGACAGTTTTCGTTCATAATTCTATCAGTTGACAAAAAATTTAACTTTGACCACATTTTTAATATTTAAAATGGGACAAGAGAGTAATTTTTCATTTATCACATTAAATAATTAAATTAAACAATAAGAAAAAAAAAAACACACACACACAATCTTCTTCTTCATCTCAACCTTCATCCACCCCTACCTAAAACCCAATATCCACACCTACTACCTCTACCTCCACCTTCACCTCCATCTGATTCTTAGAACAATAGAAGCAAGAACCGCAGTCATCAGCAAGAAAAGAACTTATTTTCTTAGCTTCATCTTCATCTTTCAATCTTCAAAGTTGAAAATTAAACACAGACACATCTGCAACATGAAATTGAAAATACCCAGAAAAAAAACGAAACAAATTGATCAAAATCAAGCTTTAATCCGAGATTTGATTCTAGAAATGTAAACTAAATAGAACCCAGTAAATTTCATAAAGGATATGTGGTCTTAAAATGGAATGCATATATCTGTAAGAAGAATCTTTCTAATATTTACAACAAAATAAACAGCTTAGAAAGAGTGGGCACAAAAATCAACAGAAACAATGAATTTTTCAAAACTACTGAGTCCAATTAATCTTGTAAAAGGAATAATCAAGAAAGGAAGAAGACGATATTGTGTGTGTATGGTTTTTTTTTTGGCGGCAGATAGAAACTGCGTTCCTCCCGGCAGGTGGTTGGTGGAGGTGGAGGTGGAGGTGGAGGTGGCGGTGTGGATTTTGGGTTTGAGGTGGGGATGGGTGAAGGTTGAGAGGAAGAAGACGATATTGTGTGGGATGGGGAGGGGGTGAAAGAGCACAATTATTGGCGGCAGATAGAAACTGTGTTCCTCCGGGCAAGTGGTCGGTGGAGGTGGAGATGGTGAAAGAGCACAATTATTGGCGGCAGATAGAAATTGTGTTCCTCTCGACAGGTGGTTGGTGGAGGTGGTCTGTGTGGATTTTGGGTTTGACCTGAGGTGGGGGTGGGTGAAGGATGAGAGGAAGAAGACGATATTGTGTGTGTGTATTTTTTTTTTAATGTGGTAAATGAAAAATTACTCTTTTGTCCCTTTTTAAACTATTAAAAATGTGGTCAAAATTAAATTTTTGCTTACTTGACAAAATTATGGAAGGAAACTGTCCAAAAGGACTTCACCCACAATATTTGGAAATGTTATGGGTGATGATTGCAATAAATTAACTGTTTGGAGAAAGTCTGCTAATATTTCAAAAGTTTGGAATTTTTGCTGCAATTATCTCTTTATTTTATTAAATTTTGCTAGTTTTTGTCAATTTTTTTTAAATTTGTTAAATTTCAGTTTTAATAATACATTCAATGCAATTCACAATTTTACCAGCTTTTCAATCATATATTTTATCAATTTTTATTGAAATCTGCTAAAAGTCAACTGACCAGACTTTTGAATAGTCAAAAGTTGTTTCTGAGATTAAGGAACTACATTTAAACCTGTTGAAAATACTTTGTTTAACTATTTTTTTTTTTTTTTTTTTAAAGAGCCCACCTAAGATAACTTTATCAATAATCTTTTCCATAAAAAAAATAGAAACAAAGAACTCTAAATTTTTTATCAAATGTATAGTATGTACGGCCAAGTTTGCCGATAAAAGGGTTTTAAGAATATACTTTAAAGGGTCATCTGATTATCTATAATATATTAAATATCATATCAAATGAGAATAATTTTTTTTGACGATCATAGTCTTACTACAATTCAATTATTTCAATAATACATTATTTTTCGTTTTCCAATATCAATTTAATTTACAAACTGCACTAAATAATATAATTAATTCTCAATTTAGTTAATATTCATATTCATTTAATTAATATTAATTAGAATTTAACATTCACATACACGTCCATGCCCTTGTTATTAACAATTAATTAATATTCACATTCATTTAATTAATATTTATTAGAATTTTACATTCAACAATGAAGTTCATTATTCACATCCTAATTAACATACAGTTTCACTTAATCCAAAAATTATATTATATTCATTTAATATAAATGATTTAACATTCCGTGTCACGTATATATTTCTTGATATAAATTCTAAATTAAGCCCCTATTTGGCCCTCATTTTTTGGGGTTGAAAATTTGTAGGATAGTGATTGATGAGAAAATGTGTGGTGAAAAAGTTTTACATTTGTGTGTAATATTATTTTATTTAAGAATGTGTTGTTGAGATGAAGAGAGATAAAAAATTAATGTAATGGAATGAGAAAAATGAGGTTCAAACGGGGGCTAATTAACATTCACGTTAATTCGTGTAATCATATTTGTCATCCATTTTCATTTATGCATTTAGTTATAATTCTAATACTCACATTCAAGTATGCATTTTTATTATTTACATGCATGTATAATAATTAATATTTATTTTCAGAAACTTGCATTTATCTCATATTTGGATCTCACAATAATTTGCTTTGTTTTATAGAAAAGAAGGCTTTTAGTTATTTTTGTGATAAAGAGGTAGGTTAAAGAGTAATGTTATTTAGTTCTGATGATGTTAAGTACCTACTTTTTTGCGATAATAAATTTACTGTGTACAATTGGTTAAAATAAAAAAAAAAATTTACAATTACTTAACTAATTTTAGACGATGAAGTCCACCATAACATAAACTACTGCTTTATGCTTAGGAGACTAAGCATTTTTTGTAAGGCTAATTTAGCTTTTTGAGTATTTATTTTAGAACATTTATGAGTAATCTTGCAAGATATCACCATCAAAGTATGACTATTACTATTTAATAGAGTTGAATTTACCCAAGTCGACGACTTTTCACCTTGTTCTTAAACTGGAGGAGCTTTGCTATGTGCACAGAGTAGATTTCACGGATGTTTTACATATTAATACTTGATGAATTTTCATTTATCCAGTGTAAAAAAAAAGCATATGTGAACAATTCCCCAAACTAGAGTCAAAGATTAGAGTGTGTATTGAAAAGATTGAATTTTCAACTAAAATTTGTAGAAGGGTTAACTATAGCAAAGGTCCCCAATAGTTGGGTTCATTGTCATTTTCATCCCAAATCTTTCTAAAATTAGTGGCATTCGTCGAAATGGATGAATTCCATCGATTTCCTCCGTTAGTCACCCCATGTGACCCGCACAGGTGAAAATTAAAAAAAAGAGCAAAATTGTCTTCTAGTTTTAAAAAGGCCAAACCCCCCCCCCCACCCCCCTCCCCATTCTAAGGCTCTATTTGATACGCCAAAATTTTCAGGGAATTAGGAAAATATTTTCCACTTTTCATTTTTTTGGTTGTTTGATAAGCGAAAATTTCCACGGAAAATATTTTCCTTATTTCCTCCACACGTGTGCATTTTTTGACTTTTTGATGAAAAAATTTTTCC